AACAGTCTTGCCTTCGAAAGCCTGTCTCGTGGTTCTTCAGCTCAGTTTGTGACTTGCATTGTTTTTCTCTCTATTCTCCAAGGGAACACTTCGTGTGCTGCTTGTCCTGCTACATGACTTCCCCGAATTCCTGTGTGACTACCATTATGGCTTCTGCGACGTCATCCCGCCTAACTGCATCCAGCTGAGGAACCTGATCCTGAGTGCCTTCCCCCGCAACATGAGGCTTCCAGACCCCTTCACCCCTAATCTGAAGGTAGAGAGTCGTACATAACATTTGATATCAGATGTGATGCATTGGGGTTTAGTATGTAGCTATAACTTCAAGTACGCTTGTGGTTATATTGTGCCAGGTGGATATGCTGAGTGAGATCAACATTGCTCCCCGCATCCTCACTAACTTCACCGGTGTGATGCCGTCCCAGTTTAAGAAGGATCTTGACTCCTACCTCAAGACCCGTTCTCCTGTCACCTTTCTTTCTGAGCTGCGCAGCAACCTGCAGGTAGGGGGCGCCACTCTGAATCACAACAGACTCTTTTGTTCATCTTTTTATTTGTAATTTGACTTTTGGTCTTTTTTTTTCTTTCTTTCTTTTTTCTTTTTCGTTTAATAGTAAAAACTATCCAGAGAGGCTAATTTTACGGGGGGTTTTTCGAGTCTGATCATTAAGTTGATGGATTCTAAACTAGAGATCGACCAATATATATCGATTTACCAATATTATCCCGATATTGAAGCATTCTACCATAATTGGATATCGGTTTTGTAATATCGGATTCACCGATAAACGCCGCCATCTTGTGGGTGATTTGAGAATTGCGTGCAGGATCGCCATTGCAGCGCGTCTGAGGGGAGACGAGACCACAACAACGGCGTGGTGCAGGTACTTGATTTGATGTAGTTAGTCAACTTTATTTAACATAACAGCCATTTATGCACAAATTAGATGCCTTACATAAATGCCTGATAATGTAGTTTATGCAGCTTGGCTCAAATAGAAATAGACCAACTCAGAGTCATGTAAAATAATCCGTCAAGTCCTGTCCCAGTAAAGACGTAACTTTGCCTAAATTAAATAATATGCAGCCATGAATGAGCGCATGTTGGAAGTAAAAGTGCTGAATTGAATTCTCTCTCTCTCTGTTGTCTATGCTCATCGTTAGTCTCGTGAAGTCGGAGTCACGTAGATAATCCGACAAGATCCTCTCCCAATAAAGACATAACTTTGCATGAGTTAAATAATACAGCCATGAATGAGCGCATGTTGGAAGTAAAAGTGCTGAATTGAATTCTCTCTCTCTCTGTTGTCTATGCTCATCGTTAGTCTCGTGAAGTCGGAGTCACGTAGATAATCCGACAAGATCCTCTCCCAATAAAGACGTAACTTTGCATGAGTTAAATACAGCCATGAATGAGTGCAAGTTGGAAATAAAAGTGCTGAATTTACTTCTCTCTCTCTCTCTCTGTTGTATATTTTCTCATCATTAGTCTGGGTGATGTGGTTAATGCTCAGGAAATGCTCCAGCACGGCCACCGCATATAACTTTTAACAAGATTCACTTGTTTTAAACACCCTAAATTGTATTAAGATTTACTATATAACCATTATTTCGCTAATAAACAAAAAAAATACTACTTTTGTTTTGTTTTGTTTGTTATATTCCAGATAATATTATTCAGTGAATTAACATTATCCAGTGAATTATTCTTGACTCTGTAGCTATTAAACATCTTATAAACCTACTAAAACTGTAGTTTAAAATGAAGTTGATATGACTCCTGTCCTTTGTATTTTCTCCATTTGAAAACATTAGACATTTTACATTTATTTTTCTTATTGTTAATATTAGTGTTGTTGATGCTTTTTATAAATAAAATGTTTTTTTTATTGTTGTAATATGAAGATTAAATTTAACATGAAAGAATGCTAATTTCTAACACTTGGGGGAAAAAAAAGACTGACGAGGAAAAACCAAAGTGAAGTATGTTCTTCACTCAGTCATTTATTTACTTTATAACAGTAAATAAATATTGGTTCTGCATATCGGTTATATCAGGCACACAAACATGCAAATAATTGGTATCGGTTATAAAAAAAAAATCAATATCGGTCAATCACTATTCTAAACCCTTAAATTTAGATAAATTTTAATGAATGTTTTCATTCAAATGCACTCTACCTCAGGTGTCCAACGAGCCAGGCAACCGCTACAACATTCAGCTAATCAATGCTCTGGTGCTGTACGTTGGAACCCAGGCCATTGCCCACATCCACAACAAGGGCAGCACTCCCTCCATGAGCACCATCACTCACTCGGCTCACATGGACATCTTCCAGAACCTCGCAGTTGATCTAGACACTGAGGGTGAGGGGAACATTTTTTTTTGTTATAAATTTTTATATCTCTAGTTTTAGTTCACATTGTGACTTGTTTTCCTCCTCCCAGGCCGCTATCTGTTCCTGAATGCGATAGCCAATCAGCTGCGTTATCCAAACAGCCACACACACTACTTTAGCTGTACCATGCTGTATCTGTTTGCCGAGGCCAACGCTGAAGCCATTCAAGAGCAGATCACCAGGTATGGCAGTGAATTTTATTACTTATATCTGTCTAAACTCTTAGTAGTGTTTACTACCATTTAAAATACATACTGACAAGAATGATTGTGATTATTTGTATGGATACTATCATTTTTTACATTTTCAATCTTTGCCCAACCAACCCAGAACAGGCTGCCTAAGAAATTTAGCTATTAAAAAATTACTAAAATAATTAAGAATTCAGGAACTTTACAATAAGGTCCCATTAGTTAGTGTTAATGCATAACTAAAATGAACTAACCATGAGCTGTTCATTTATTACATTTATTAATCTTTGATAACATTAGTTGATAAAAAATACAGCTGTTCATTGTTACTTCAGGTCTATTAAATGTTATATACAGGTTTTTTTATAATGTATTAGTAAATGTTGAAATTAACATTTCTAAATGCTTTAGAATTATTTTTAATTGTTAATTTCCGGTAAGTAATGTTAACAAAACAGAACCTTATTGTAAAGCTTTACCAAAAATGTAATTAAAATGTAATGAAGTTTACTTCCATTAAGTGCTATACTTGACTATAGGTTCTTGTCTATTGGCTTATTAATGTCATTGAGATACTATTAGTTTTAGTAATTTGTCATTTTTGTTTAATTTAGTTTTAATATATCAAGTTACACACCTAAAATGAGAATGTTGCCTGGCAACTAGCTGAAAAAGTTTAATTTCTAAATTAATTTGTTCATGTGTATTTTGAAATAACACTGTTTTAAATAACTGTAACAACCCTGGCTTACTCGTGTCACGCAGGGTCCTGCTGGAGAGGCTGATTGTGAACAGGCCACACCCGTGGGGTCTGCTCATCACCTTTATTGAGCTGATCAAGAACCCTGCCTTTAAGTTCTGGAGCCATGATTTTGTGCACTGTGCCCCAGAGATCGAGAAGTAAGGGAGCCAACATGACACATCTTTCTGCAATTTTTACAACAGAGAAACTGCAGCGTCTCCATGTTTTTTTGTGTGCAGGTTGTTCCAGTCGGTGGCTCAGTGCTGCATGGGGCAGAAGCAGGCCCAGCAGGTGATGGAGGGAACAGGTGCCAGTTAGGCTGCAGGAACTGTTCCTGTGCCGAGAGAAAGCTTTCCCTTTCCCAACCCTTCATTTGTCCCACCAACACCCTGCACGTCTGATCGACACACAGCCGGCACTGGATTCCCGCTCACCTTCCACTGGGCAGCATCTGACCCGAGTTTCTTTTTGGTTTTCTTTTTTCTCCCTCAAGTTAAAATGTTCAATGTAAATATTAAAAAGGGACATTTAAGAGCAGATTGAGTTTTTTTGTTGTTTTTTTGGTCAAAGGTGAGGCACACGCTTGGGCACATTTCACTCCTTGCTGTTTGGCTTCCCCTAACTCTCCATAAATTATTTTTTGCCTTCAAGATGGATTGACTTTTGTTTGGAAGCTTGGTAGTAGTGGCTAAGGAAGCCGTCTTGTTTTATTTATTTTTTTTTATGGTTTTTAAGGGGAGAGCTATCAGTGTGGTGAGCTGATAGGATCGGACAGATGTCCTGGACTGCAGGGGGAGTCACTAGTTTGCACCTGTGAGGAAACAAATCTTGGGTTGGAGGTTCTCCCTGGCACTTGTACAATTGTGGAAATATTCAGAAATTTGTTGGTAAATTGGATCTTCGGAGTTTGTACAAAGATTCAACTTGCAGAACAAAAAGGACCAATACAGCTCATTTTGTAAGGATTTCGAATGTTTTGTAAATGTATTGGTCCACGTGTTGTATTTTGTAGTACTTTGTAGTTGCCTTTAGTTCCGCTACTTATTTCCTGTATGTATGCATTCTGTAGTTACCGCATTAAACACTTGAACTGCAACTTCGCCTGTTTGTCGTTTCATTTGCATTTGAAACCAATTGAGTTGTATGGTTTAACATTATTTGATCAATTTCTGGTCCCTGTCGACTATTTTAAACATTTAGCATTCAAGTGACAACATTTTTTTGTGTCACTGACCATTCAGATGAAGACGATATGAATTTTGTTTACAGATAGTTTTTTCATACTCTAAACAGAAACACTGTTCAAGTCCTTTTGGAAAGCTCAAAGCATAATTTTGACTTGCGTACAAGTGGTTTTGCTTTTTTTTTTTTAATGGATTAGCTGGATGTTTTTTCCATGCATTGACAAAAATGGGAAGCATACTGTAATTACAGTATGTAGTTGTGCACGCATTTGATGCTCCTGTAAAGCAATACGGACTTTTTGCAGAATTTCATACCCACTCACCAAACTTACATCCTTGCAAAACAGATGTGGGAAAGCAAGCCTTCTAAAACGGTGTACCATCAGAATGATTTTGAAACTCGTGCTCAAACATGCCTTCATTTAATTTCATTTCGTAAAAGTGTCTGCTAAATTAAATGTGAATGGACTTAAACCCACCAAAGTTGCGCTAAATAAACCACCTTTACTTTCCACAACAGCACACAATTAAAACAATCTGAACCATAATATTCCAAGTGATTTTTTTTTTTTTAAAGGAAAATGTACAGCATTCAAAATTGGAAAAACTTAAACTATATACAGTTTGCAAATTCAATTACACTATATCGGCTGAGGACTTTTCTCTCTTGACAACTACAGAATGCAGTCAGCACATGACATTTAAGAATGTTTGTGAAACCCGTACATTAAGACTTTTTGGTGAGCTGTTGTAAGCGCTGTAGGATGCTCTTCTGACCGTAACGCACATGCAGAGCTCTCCTCTCTCTGCTGCTGAGTTCCTCCAGCCGCCTCCTGTCCGTCTCTACATCCTCAGAATAAGAGTCCAGCGTCAGAGCTGCAGCTGCGTGCAGGAGCCTTTTCCACTCTGCTGACAACCCCAACAGTCCATCGAAACTCAGGGCCTGCTCCATTTGATCATCCTCATCCTCTTCATCTTCCTCCCAGCCTTCGTTTTCACGGAACACCTCGAAATCTTGCACCGTCATGCTCAGGACCTACTCAGAAACAAAAAATTATTATCAGTGTTGTTTTCACTATTAAAACTATTAATAAATAGTTTATAAATAATAAAAATAAAGCTAAAATGAAATTTATATTACTTGCCTGAAACAGGTAATGGTGGAACAAATTTATTGACTTTTTGTCATGTGGATAAAATGTTTACCTTCAGTGTAGTGTAGAGCTCACTGTAAGTAAGGCAGCCTGATTGGCCGAAGACGAAGACCCCTTCCTCTCCAACAATCTCCATCTCACACATGTTCCATTTGTCCACTAAGAGCTTTTGATCTGCGTCACTTTGTGCCGCTGTAATCGCAACAACTTTATTTGAAACATATTTCTTGAGTCAAGTAACTGACTTTTTATAGACTGCTACAAAGTCGCACCTTGCACTGCTGCTTTGTACACACTGGACATCTGGATATCTGCAGTATCATTGCTATTGGTGGGAAACGACTCTGCAAAGCCATACATGTGCAGGAGCTGCCAGTTTGCCATCTGTCCGTAGGTGTTAAAGACTTCCTCGCCCTTTTCAATGGGTCGTACAGACACCATCTTCAAACACTCCTGTACACAATCGAGTGAGATTTTTAAGCATCTAGCATAATAAACAATAAAATGCGATACATCTGCTCCACATACGGGTGTATATTCCAGATTGGCATTGTGCTTGGAAATGTGATTCAGCATGTCAGCCATGGGCACCATCATTGGAGGGTTAGGTTCTTTTTCTTCATCTTCATCGGGCTCTTGAAAACTAAGGAAATATTGAGAATCATTGGGAAATGTTACATTCTGACTGATATGATAAGCAGATCATTATTTTCATGTTATTACCAATAACCAACAAATGGCTAGTGGTCGACCAAAATATCGGCAAGGTCGATATTTCAGCCAATATTTGACTTTTTTTTAAATATCAGCAAATAATTTATTTTTAATTTAGTAAATATTATTTTAAATAAATACAAATTTCATTTCAGCAATTGTTATACATGTTTTTTTTTTTACTAACTTTAAAATTAAATAATGTGATAATATATATATATCTGCTTTATATCGGCCACCTTGCTCTTTAAGATATCAGCATCGACCACTATAAATGGCCAATATTAAAATTCTACTATTTTGTCTAAATATTTAAAAAATAAAAAATAAAATAAATGGTTTTAAAAGTGAAATTAGGCGTCACAGCATTATAATGTCCAGTATGAAAAATAAATATTCATTCAGAGCTAAAGATTAAAAATAAAAGTTATTTCATTATTAGTGTTATGTTTGTGTTATTAAATTGTAATGATCATTAGATGATGGCAGATGTAATTTAAATATAAAATTAGGGGAAATTAGCATGCACAATTAAATATTCAATTTGTAATTTCAAATATCGTCCAATAACCAATTTGGTATTTATACCATAATAGTATATAAATAATACTAATTATTATAATAAGAATTATTATTATTAAGCTTCTGTTACACACACACATACATATCCATATATAAATATAAATATATACAGTGGGGCAAAAAAGTATTTAGTCAGCCACCAATTGTGCAAGTTCTCCCACTTAAAAAGATGAGAGAGGCCTGTAATTTTCATCATAGGTATACCTCAACTATGAGAGACAAAATGAGAAAAAAAAATCCAGAAAATCACATTGTAGGATTTTTAAAGAATTTATTTGCAAATTATGGTGGAAAATAAGTATTTGGTCAATAACAAAATTTAATCTCAATACTTTGTTATATACCCTTTGGTGGCAATGACAGAGGTCAAACGTTTTCTGTAAGTCTTCACAAGGTTGTCACACACTGTTGCTGGTATTTTGGCCCATTCCTCCATGCAGATCCCCTCTAGAGCAGTAATGTTTTGGGGCTGTCGCGGGCAACACGGATTTTCAACTCCCTCCAAAGATGTTCTATGGGGTTGAGATCTGGAGACTGGCTAGGCCACTCCAGGACCTTGAAATGCTTCTTACGAAGCCACTCCTTCGTTGCCCGGGCGGTGTGTTTGGGATCATTGTCATGCTGAAAGACCCAGCCACATTTCATCTTCAATGCCCTTGCTGATGGAAGGAGGTTTTCAGTGATTTTCTGGATTTTTTTTTCTCATTTTGTCTCTCATAGTTGAGGTATACCTATGATGAAAATTACAGGCCTCTCTCATCTTTTTAAGTGGGAGAACTTGCACAATTGGTGGCTGACTAAATACTTATTTGCCCCACTGTATATATATAATTATTGTTATTTATTATTTGTATTATTATTTATAATACTGTATATAAATATTATAAAATATTTATATTATACCATTAAATTTAAATATCAGCCAATAACTAATGTGGTATCGATATATTGAGCATCCCTAAATAGAATCCTCACATTATCAGAAATGTAATTGAATCAAATCCAATAGCTTAGATATCTCACCTATAGGCCATTACAAATGCTACCAGGCTCTTGTAGAGCTCCAACGTGTGCTTCTCAGGGTCCCACAGGTCAGGATGGGACTTCATGAAAGGAAGGACTATGTTATTGTACTCATCCTGGAGTTTTTTCAGATCCGTTTCGACAGCCTCTGGAATTCCTGTGCCTTTCAGGAGTTTCTCGCGCTCCTCCTCTGACCTTCAAAAAAACACTCTGTGACCATGAAGAACTGAAGGACTCTTGAAGAGTATCTTAAAGTCAGCAAATATTCACAGCACAACCTACCAGAACATGGGTTGATCCAGTGTCCTAAAGTCTGGCCAGAGAGACAAATATGGTTTCCAGTGTGATTGTGGACATGTGTACTCATATAGGAGACCCAGAAGAAGAGGAACCCAGCCTGATGCGCTCTCCAAAGACTTCTTCCCTAGACAACATATGGTTATATGGTTACAAGCGTGCTATAGAAGGTGGAATTTCAATAAACCTGAATGTTCTTATACCTTCCTCAAGGACTTTTTTAACTTTAGTGGTGGCCTGATGCAGAAGAACCTCTCTGGGTATGGAGAACAAGACGTGACCCTCTTCAATGTCCTCTTTGGCAAGCATGCCATATTCTGCTACCGTACCCTCTTTACTTAAGTACACCTAAAGAAATGAATGTACACTGTGGTGGGTAAATCCAAGTGTAGGGTTTGATCGTCATGTCAAGAGCTTGTCTAATCATGCATTTTGAAATAAAATATAAATACAGATGAAAAACGTAATCGTGAAAAAGTAAACAAAATTAGAAATGTTGCCTTTACAACTAAATATAAGTACTACAATTATATATTTTTTAAAAACGTGAAAAATGACAAAAGAACAAAAAACTATTTTTACTATTTTTTAAACTTAAACTGAAAATGTTAGTTTAAGATACCAAAAATAGTTTTACTAAAACTGAAAATACAGGAATAAAAGCTCATTGGAAATATTAATATACGAAAATACTATATAAACGATACTAAAATCAAATGGATTATATATTATTTTTATTAAGCTTTTATCAATTTATATAAAATTATATATATAATATGCATACATACATAAAATTACATGCAATTATAAAATTATAATACACATACATACATACAGGTGCATCTCAATAAATTAGAATGTCGTGGAAAAGTTCATTTATTTCAGTAATTCAACTCAAATTGTGAAACTTGTGTATTAAATAAATTCAATGCACACCGACTGAAGTAGTTTAAGTCTTTGGTTCTTTTAATTGTGATGATTTTGGCTCACATTTAACAAAAATTCACCAATTCACTCTCTCAACAAATTAGAATATGGTGACATGCCAATCAGCTAATCAACTCAAAACACCTGCAAAGGTTTCCTGAGCCTTCAAAATGGTCTCTCAGTTTGGTTCACTAGGCTACACACTCATGGGGAAGACTGCTGATCTGACAGGTGTCTAGAAGACAATCTTTGACACCCTTCACAAGGAGGGTAAGCCACAAACATTCATTGCCAAAGAAGCTGGCTGTTCACAGAGTGCTGTATCCAAGCATGTTAACAGAAAGTTGAGTAGAAGGAAAAAGTGTGGCTTACCTTATCGCTGAGAGTCAGCTTCACACTAGCACACCACTGCAAGAAGTTTTTCAAGGGGTCCAGCACCCAGTTCTCATCATCTGTCTGAAACACACATGATGGTATGCTTAAGGCTCATCATGATAAGCACAATAACGCTGTTTCAAGCTAAAGGCAATACTTGAATCTAAACTATGAATTATAATAACTGTCACTATTGATAGTTTGAGGAAATGTTTTTTTTTTACCTTTGGCCTTTTTGCATCTGTCGCCATTTTTTTAAAACGCAAGCTCGTTAGTGAGATATTAAACTATATATTGATTTGTAATGACAACCACACAAGAATACACTAATGATTATATTCTATGTGCCTCCATGTGGGCAGCTTCGGCGGCTTCTTCTTCTTCCACTATGTCTGCAGAAAGAAAGAAACACAATCCTGATGTGCATTGGCGCCCCCTACTACTAGTACTACTATTACAGAATTAAAAAAGTAAATAAAATGTAAATAATTAATAAAGAATCAATATAAATTCTCTATATAACATAATATCATTTCCCATTAAAAGATTTAGGCTTTAAATTGATGCTTGATTCTTCCTGTCATTTATTTAATTATACATTTATTGTAAATATATACATATATATATATACATTCAGCAAGAAAGTAAAACAAAATGAAAAAGTTAAATTTTTAACACTTTTTACTGTTTACCATTGCCATTATATATATGTCCAATTTACAGATCCTCAACAAGTCAGGTGTGAGGACCTGAAAATGTATTTATTAAGATATTTATTATTTGACATTACTCACGTGTCTTAATTTTTTATTTATTTTTGGTATGTAAACACAGACATAAATTCACTATGACAATAAAATAAAGTGTATAAACAGAGACAATGTTATCTTACCGACAGAGAATGGCATAAAGGCCTCAGGCTTCTCGGCCAGGCCTGCTCATTCATGAAGTTGGCTGGGTTAAACTCATGAGGACACTTCCACTTGTGCTTCTCCAACAGCACAGAGGAGAGGTTGGGAAAGATGAGTGCTTTCTGTAATTTTCCAGTGATTTTTCATTAGTATTCAATTAGGTTTTTAAAAGCAAATATATTGTATAAACACTTAAATATTGATTCTACATGCTATTCCCATACAGTATGTGGCATTCCTATACTTCCTGTCTGACATTACATCATAGTTTTATTGACTTTGACTGTTAGAGTGTGTATTATATGTATATCCTGCATTCAATCTTCACATAAACAATAACAATGCACTTCGTCTATTTAACACTTCATTTTTTATGTAAAAAGAAAAGCTGACATTTACATTGAGTGATTTTGAATTTTGCTCTTTTTCATGTGTGATGGGGTAGGTTAGGCTACAGGTCACACGGTCTTCCTCTAGTCCGCCCCTGGGTAAGGGACACTCAGCATTGACATTGTTTACAAGCAGACATTTCGCTAATTATTCTGATCATTCTCATTTAGTTAGCTAAAGCATTTTAATTTAAGATGTTTGCCTTAGTGCATTCATTTAGAATTTAACTATTCAGATATACATCTCAAAGTGAACAACTCAACTTTGCAGTCCAAATGGAAGATTTATGCAAAAATAACTTATTCATATTTTTCTATATTATTTATACTGTTATTACTTTTAGGTTTATTTCACAGAACTGGTATATTTGCTAGGAATGTCTCAAAAACAGACAAGAAGGCCACATTTATCAACTTGCTGGTTAGACCTTTATTATGTTCTCTCGTCATCAACAAACTTTCTTCTGAAGCAAAATGCATATAAATACACATATTTCTATAATAAAATAAACTATTGATTGACAGAGCTCACTTTGGGATTATGGGTAATGTAGTTCACCAGAAATTCAGATATTGAAAACAAGGCAGATTGTATCATATATCATCACTTCAACCACCTTGAAACTCAAGGTAGGTCTGTATTAAAAGAAAATGAATTGAATTTTTACTTCCAGAACCCAACTGTTGCACTCAGTTACCTGCAACTTCATGTGCAGCACGATCACAAAGATTTGATAATGCTATACAATTATTATTAGCTGGTCCAAGTTAATCTGTTTATCAAATTATATTCTGTATAGAGTAGGGAGGAAAAGTATTTGGCATTATGATTTACTGTTTAACTGTCTCTCTGCGTCTGATGTGCATTCTGTATGGTTTGGGGGTGAGGGTGACCCCATATACTGGGGTGTAATCTGGATCCCCGGCATCATTGGGCCACACAAACTGGAAATGGGGCAACAGAGTGGCGATGACCAGGAAGAGCTCCATACGTGCAAGACCCTCACCGAGACACACACGAGGACCTGTAAAACACATACAGTATGATGATGCTCACAGAACAGGTCTGACAAGATCAAATATGTCATACATTTTTGAATGGTTACCTGTAGAGAAGGGTATGAAGGCCTCAGGCTTCTCAAACTGGCCCTGCTCATTCAGGAAGTTGTCTGGGTTAAATTCATGAGGAAACTTCCACTGGCCTTCTTCTTTTAGTATGATAGTGAGGTTGGTAATGATTACAGTTCCTTGATCAAGGAGAAACAGTTCAAATTTGTTCTGAAGTATTAAAAACTCTGGTTTATATGGAGGTTTCCTCACCTTCGGGATGCTGTAGCCCATCAGCGTGGTGTCTTTGGTGGTGCAGTGAAACACACTTAGCGGTAGTGTTAGCAACACGCTGAACCTCATGAATCACAGCCAGTGTGTACGGCATATTGTGTCTGTCTTCATACGATGCGTGATCTTTACCCTCCAGAACCTCATCAATCTCTTTTTGACATTTTGCTGGTGAGAAAACAAGGCCATGTTTGTCTGTTTAAGTTTAGAGGAGTTAGCTTTGCAAATAAAAGTTTACAACATTCAGTTAAAAAAATAATAGACATCAAATTAGCAATAAGAACAACAATATACAGTACATTTAGCTTCTTTAGTTCAAATCACACTTAAAAACTGTATTTGCAATGCCTGTTCTAGCTTCGCTAATCAAGTGCCAGTCATTTGGCTCTTTTCAGGTCTGGAGGTAGTTCAATTTCTACAGTTGCCTTATTGAACATTATGATTTCTTGCATTTGTTTTTCTATGAGTAGTCGGTCTCCTCCTGCTCTACTGCCTCTAATTTAACTTTAACCTGGATTAAATTAAACCAGAATCAATGTGTGCTCTTTAAACAAACCTTGAATCTCTGGGTGGGCCATGAGGTAGAGAAAAGCAGTGAGGAGAGTGTTGGATGTGGTATCAGTCCCTGCAAAGTGCAAACCCAAAATGTCGATGATGAGCTGGTCTTCAGAAAAGGTGGAACCATCATTTTTTCTCTGGGGAATGTAAGATATCATTCATTTGAGATTCAAACTGTGGTGAAGCTGTTCAAGAATAAAAAAGTATTCGAAAACCAATGCAAATGCTTCTAATTTTCTAATGCAACACAATTTGTTTCATTATAAATTATATTATCAGCATAAAAATTTGCATGAAATGTATTTTTAGGCTTGAATCAGATTTTGAACCTCGGAGTTCCAATGTGGTTTTAGACATTTGGACCCCACTGTGTTTTGGAAGAAGCACGCACCTTATCAAGCTCATCCAGATAGCAATCGATGAGGTCTCTCGGCTCTCCTGAGACACAATATTTTTTAACTTCTTTGCATGATCAAATGCTTTTTTAAACAGCAGGGGCAAGATTCTCAGTAAATGAAGTGTGTCATATATCTGTTGAAAAAAAAATGCATGTTTGACGTTTTCGTATACAGTTACACTAAAATGCTAATTTTTCACAAATTTGAATGTATAGTCACATTCAGTGAAATATAATTAAAATCATTTATTTTAAATTTAATTTAATACGGTTTTCTATTAAATCACCCATGGTTATTATTGACTTTGAGATACCTCTAAATCAAAAATACACTTTTAGCAGATATAGAGGTTAAAATTTTACAGGAAAATAGATCAAATATATTGATGACTCATACTGCACTACACAGATTTTTGTCCAATCAGATGCTTTCTAGAATGAGAATGTCCCTCCCCTAATAGCTTACTGTATTTCTCTGATTAGCTATAGCATGTAGAAAATCACACTTTAATCACTGGCTATTAAGAAAAAGGAAAGAAAGAGAGAAAATGGCAATTGTCAAACGGTTTCATATGGTGTTTTGATCCTAAATCTCACCATATTCCATGGTCCATTGATGATCTTTGAAATCTCTGTAATGATCTTGATGTACTTCTGAAGGAATGTGTTGTTGGGATCTAAACAGAACCAAGCCGATAACGTTTGATGCAACATTGTGGAACATATTCTGAGGATTTACAGTTCCTCCAAATGTACAGTATCGGTTAAAAACATTATGACCTTCCTTGTCAGTTGAGATCTCAACCAACAAAAATTGTTTTTACATATAAATACCAGCATTTCTGTCCAAGTCAGAAACTAAATGTGAGATTTCTTCCAGAATTCTCTCTTCCATGGACTGCTTCCCCAGGCCAAAGTTCCTCAGGGTCATCAGAGCAAAGCGTCGATGATCCTTCCAACAGGGGCCATAATCGGCCAATACAATGCCATTAGTTAAGTTAAGATGTTAGTTGTGGGGATTCTGTTTTGTTACATGTTCCAAAAGCTTATAATCACCAGCATTTCACTTATAACATGTTCCTGATATAAGCCATACTGTTAAATACTACAATAGTTAATTAGTTAATAGTCCTCAGATTTGATTGGTTGAGCAGCAGCATTCCAAGAACATTGATAATCCAAAAACGCAATGGCTTTTTACTGTTTTATTACTCTGCTTGTTTGTGATTGCACAATCCAGATTGCCTGTCTATAGGTGGGGATTTTTAGTGACTCATTAAATGTGTGTTACATCGTTAAGGCCCAGTCAACTTCATTTTCGTTATTGCATCATCTAGCTCAGTGGTTTCCAACCCTGCAGTTCCCCAAACAGTACACATTTTAGATGTGAAACAACAACTTTAGGTCTCTACTAATGAGCTGATGAGTTGAATCAGGTGTGTTTGATTAGGGAACTCTGATTTTGTGCAGAGTTGGGAGTACCCCAGGACCATGTGCAATACCTAGTGGACCAGTCGCTGCACCCGAAATCGAATACTTCCCTACTCTGTAGTATGCTAAAAACAGTAGGGCTGCATCCAAAATTGCATATTTCGCTACTAGTAGGCGAAAAACAGTATGTGCCAAAAGAAGGATATCCGAATTCACAGTACTCATAAAAGAGTAGGCAAAAAGTGCCTGGAAGACATACTACTACTGGCATGATCCTGAACTGTGCATATGATGGACACTTTACCATCCTATAAGGCCACAGGAGAGGATTTATGAAAGGCAATGATGCAACACAACATTCATACTATATAAAACATACTCTTTTTGTGGTCACAAAGT